AAATTGAACAGGCTTATAGACTTCAAGTGCATCACAAAGCCAATAATAAGACTCACGAGACATTCGGAACTCGAGAGTACACAATGAATGGGATATATTTTCGAAAGAGTCGCAGAGACAATGTGTATAATCATATGTTGGATATATGCACCATTTATCGCCCGTCCGATGGTGTGGAGTGTAGAGAACACGATAAGCGACAAGATCCCAAAATTGAGGATTCCCGCTTTGCATATCCATCTTCATACGTAAAGTGACTTCGGATTCTTTGTACCGTCCTTCTTTCATCTTTTGAAATTCAGCCAAGGACTCTTCGATAGGACGATTACGATGAACGCATTCTTTTCGTTCACCACCATTATCACCTCCGCGCATTTCATGCATCTCTTCAGGTGTACATGAACATGCGTAAGCCTTGTCGCGTTTTATTAACTCAACAGCCAACTCGTATAACTTGTCAAAGTGATCAGAGGAATATGTTATCTTCCATGGGGTGAATCCTAACCATTCCACGGTTTCTCTTATAGAGTCAAAGTAACGTTCTTCCTCAGCTATAATAAGAAAATACATAAAATTACTATAAAATCGATTATTATTACAAATTACTAATTAAAAATATTGTACCTTCAGGATTCGTATCATCATATCTACAACAAATATAAAAGATTGATAAATAATTGTTAAATAAGAACAAAATTCGAAATCTTTCTAAATAAACCCATTACAAACCTGAGATAGCAGAGTCCATTATGTGCCTTGGCATATCCAAAATTTACATTGATCGCCTTTGCATGGCCGATATGCAAAAAACCATTAGGTTCAGGAGGAAACCTAGTAAGTACTTTACCACCCGTCGCCTTTAAATGTTGCTCCATCAACTCTGGTTTAATTTGCTTGTTACCACCAGGTTTATGAAGTTTTGAAAGTTCGCCTTCTAAGAACATATTTGGGATCGAGTTCTTTTTGGATTCGACCGGCGGGGTAGATATTTTTTGATTAGAAACTGATGTCGATTTAGGTTCTTTATCTTTTTTCTAAGATAAATGATTATCGGAAAAAGGAATATTAGAAAGGCAAATGAGAAGTTTTGGTGATGGGGATAGGAACTAACGTACTTTTCCTTTAACAGTCACATCTCTTTCATCCTTTGGTCCAATTATTGCGATCACTTGCTTTTCAAGTTCATTTTTTACGGCGACACCATTGGACCAACGCAATTCAGGAATCTGGCGTGCCTGAGCGAGTAGTGGTCCAAGTAATTTATATCTTTCCGAAATAAGGGCATCCTTATTAGCCTCCAAATGTGATGCAATTGCAGCAGTTATTTGATCTGGTGTTACGACAACACCTATCATAGAAAAAAAAACTTAATAATTGTTCTCCGCAGTATACAAACAAAAATCGACAAATAAGATAGTTAAATTACCAACACCACAAGCTCGGTTGAATTCTTCGTCATTAATTTCTTCATTGGCAGTTTCAGCAAATTTTATAGCAGCTTTTCGCCCAAATACAAATCAACAAAATATGCATAAAGTCTTTTACAACAAATTTAGCGTAAAATACGAACAATTACTCTACCGGTAACCTGATCTGAGCTAGTAAGTCTGTTATCACTGATAGCTCGAGCAAGGTAACCCAAGTGAGGTGATGCGTCCTTACTCACAGTAGAAGCAAGTGTATAAAGAAGATCGCCGATTGATTTATCGCAGCCACTCCGAGTAAAACCAGCTTCAGAGATCGTGTTCTGTAAAGCTAATGCTAACTTTTTATTTTTAACGGTATCCTTTGCGCGTTGTTCTTTCAAGCCTATTGCTTGGAATAAGGTGATCAACTCGTCGTCTTCCATACCTTTTATAATGTGGGTTAGAAATTCTGGAAATGTAACGGTTAACGCTTCAAAAATAACGATAACGATAATTTACAAAATATATATACATATACATTAAGTCTGATGCAGGGCGATGATTTTCTGCGTTTCACGGAATGCCGCAGAATGCGTTACCAACCTAAAAGAATTTCGCTGTTAGATTAAGGTTAGGTTTTGCTATGAAGTTAGGTTAGAAAGAAATTTGGTAATACCAAAATTTCGCAAGGAAAACTTTTTGTTAGTGCGCAGAAAGTAGTTTCATAGATAAAATGTTGAGTTATAAGCGATTTTTTGGTTTGTTTTGATTTTTTGCGTCATGAATATTCACGAATATTCATTGAATATCCACTATTTGGTTACACGAAATTCACGGATATTCGCGGTTACTAATAATAGCATGGGTATCCATCCAAAATCCGAATATTTGTCCAATGCTATTCGTGAATGCACGATATAGGATAACTTTCTCGTGATTGGTCGATCACACAAATTGAATATCATGCCATGATTGGTCACTTTGCAGATCAT